GCAATAATACGATTTTATATTTATAATATTTTAGAAAACAATCAAATATTTCATGAAGTATTAGGTTTTCAATGAGTTTATCTTATGTCTTTTTAGTCGTAAAATGTTAACTGATTTTGTTTCGAAGGACGGTGCAATTGCACCTGCAAGTCATATCATAAGATGATGGAGCTTGCAAAACAGTGAGCTTTAATACCCTTTCAACGGAACTATAACATGACCTAGTTATGGTTACTGGAATCACCGAGTATTCTTAACATGCCTGATACGCATAGACATACGAATTCCGGAAACGTCTATAAAAATCGTGATACTCACTGAAATCTAAACCGGAATTTAGCGAATGTAATAAAATAGTAAATATGTTATCAATTCTTCCAAATAGTTCAATCAAATGTTTTATATTAATATTGGTACTGCTAATGGAAATGTACACATATAGAAAAATGATATATTAGTAAAAAATATGCTAGAATTAATTAAGAAACAGTGATGTTTCTAATGCCTAAAACGCGCGTTAATGAGAGTATCTGCACAGTGAGTATCACTGAACTATAATATAACAAGAAAAATATTGTGCACCTGTATGGTATGTCGGTAAGATTCGACTGGCTGTGAGAGTGCGGCACTCGTGGCATCGACGTTGTATCTCGAACACCACAAACAGCTAACTCATGGGCAGATCCAGATAGGCTTCGATCACTTCCTCTACGTTTACCACCGGTTGTACTACTTGCACCATGTTGTAAAGTGCTGGGGGTTGTGGCCGAGGTCGAAGATTTCTTTTTCGTTTGTCCACCGAAGGTAAAAAATCTACAATATAAAAATGTTATATAATGAATTATGATTCTTTTTGTAATATATTTATACACAATATTAAGTTATCCTAACCAAATGTTTCAAAAGGAAGATTCAATCGAGAAAAAAATGTTTCGATGTCTTCAGAGACGTTTAAATTCGTAGCATTTTCGGAATAAATGTATGTATCTTTATATTATGTAAAGCCCGTTATATTATGTAAAGATAGTTTACAAGAAAATGAACGATAAATTGCGAAAGCAGAGGCTTCAAGCTTTAAAATCAGTGGAAATTCATTGGTGTGCGATTTTTATATAGAAAGTTATAATTATTTATACACTAAGAATTTGTGGTGAGGAAAGTACAGAGCAGTAACAAAAATTGTGTCTAGAATATGTAATAAAAATATGATTGTAAAGCATACCTCTTTTTTTGTAAAGGTTGCACGCCATGCGCTAAAAGACTTCGATACAGATCAGAGCGAATAAATCTAGGATAACAATCCTTTTTCAAAAGTAGCGTATAAACGTGTTCAGCAGCAGAATCGAATGTAAATCGGCTTGGATTTTTCATCTCTTGATGAACTTTTTCCATCGTCTTCCCATCAATATTTATTTCGCAGGGTGCTCCAGGTGCCAGGAATTCTCTAAACGAGTAATATGAATTTATTATATTATTAAATATGAATTATTCATATTTGTTTATATCGCGTCTATAAGGTAATATAATAGGCTGACTATTATACATACTTGAAAATTTCGTTGACTTTATCAGGTATTTGCGCTTGAAAACTGCGCCTTAAATCTTTCACTGCTACCCAAAACCGTATGTTTTCATGACTGTACTCCTTCCTTAAGTAATTTGTGAATTCTTGCAAGCCTGTATCAGAAAACGAAAAGATAAAACAAATGACTTTTGCATTATGTAACATTGCGGTAATACAGTGTGCCCATTGTTGACAAAAAATATCTGTATGTCAGACGTCGGTGCTTAAAATCAAAGATTGTGTGCGAGATTAATGTTAAAAGTCTTTACAAAATACAGATTTTGAATTTCTCGATTTTCTGCTCATTTCCATGAAAGAAAATTGTACTTATAAACTTTGATCCTGACGATTATTCGATGAATTGAGTTCATTTTTGTTTTCTATCCTAACTGTGAAAGTTCGGTCTACCGCAAACACTTCTTTTTCATTTAAACATGAATTATGTAATATATAAATTCAAAATGAACTTTTAATGTGGTTCTTATTTTTTCTATGTTTAGAATAATATTTTTATATCTTTACAACTATTACATTTCCCTTATTTCACTAAATTCTTCTAGCTGATAGCGGAAACATTCATTTTCCGAGCATTTCACTCAACTTACCATGTTGAGTGTAAATGGAGAACATAAATTATTAGTTTTAATAATTCCTGAGTATGTAAATGATAAATGAAATCTGTATCATCCATTATCATTTCATTATCATTTTACGTGTAAAATGTCGCTTAAAAAATATGAAGACAATACTGCTTACATGATTGTGCATAAGGATAAATAAACTGTTGTGAAATTCAATGTTATTCACCTGTAGGATCAGACATCAACTCCTCCATTGATAGCGCCCAACGCTTAACACGTTTCTCCGTTGGAACTTCCACTCTGCGTATAAAGAATAAAATTAGTTAACAGAAAAGAAAGCAATATAGACACTTTATCAAAATTTTCTTTCGTATAAATTCTTATTTATGATATCACAACAAATTTCTTTTCGAAATACTAACACAGAGCTGTTTAGTTGCCAAAATGTTTGATCGTCCGTGATCCACGGATTGGATGGTTGTGGTTGCACAAACATCGGATCGTATTCCACGTACGTTTCGAAATATGATTTCAAATTTTCAATTGCAGTCGAAACCTTTATCCTTGTGCGTGTTAAGCTATTCTCCAAGAAGGCCACCTAATTTTGAGTAAATAGAAACGAGTAATCGTTAAAATATTCTCTAACACAATTATCACATCACGATAATTTAACGAAATCAATTATTTTTACAAAACTTATTACCATCTGTCAACTTAACACTAAACCTACTGAGTTCTAAACGTAACTAACGTATGTTACTTTATAACGATGAAGAGACGGTATTCATGTACACTATTCTACGATTTTCTTATAATATATGCTTTGGTTAAGAAATTGATTCAATCATTTTCTACGAAAGAGTTTTTATAGTTAGAACGACTTTAAAACAAAAAAAGGGAAACTGGTCATGGTAAGCTTGGTAGGTTTAGTATTAACGATCAATCAAACTCGTTTGGAGAGTAATACATTTTTCTTCGACAGTATTTTAGTTTGATCATGTTTTTATGAAAAATCTTACGATCACCAACAGCGTAGGAAATTATATGCAATATATGAAAGATATTTCTAATAGCATCTAGTTTATGGCAGAATTCGAATTAAAGGTGTTGGAGGCGTACAGTGCTTTTGGAACGATGACATGTAAAAATTGTGGTACACACAGGGTGTGAATCAGTAAGAACCTTTGTCTACAATAACTCGATATTTATTCATTCTATTAACAAAACTTTTTAATGTATTACGTGATATATTAAGGGATGTGTCGAATGTGTACAATTTAATCCTTTTATACCTCATTCTAACTGAGATATCAAGGTGACTTTGTGACATGTGAATAACATTGAATTGACCTTGATTTCTAAAATAATAAAAATCTCAAAATGAAACGTAATCTCTATTATTAGCTATGCACAAAATTGGAATTCAAAGTATTTACAAAGTTTTCTATAACTACACATGTACTATTAACTTTGATAGGTTTCGGTTCCAAAAGCAATGTACACTTTCGTAAGCTCCCCCTGTTAGATATCTGGATTGATTAAGAAGAGGAGAATAAATTACCTCGCGTTGCAGGTCAGATAGAGTACGTTTGCGCGATGGTACACGTGAAAGTCCAGGACGAAAACGCGTAGGTACAGGTGCTATGTCGAGACTACTGATACAACCAGGCGGTGGCCTATACACTCTCCAAAAGGCTCGTTCTTGAGAATCACACACTATCTTATCATCTCTTTTCCGTCCTTTCGATAATCGTACCTGCATCGAACAAAATTAACACCATTTCAAGCAATCACTTGCTCGAATATTCTTAATTGTAATTACAGTGGCCAACGTTAATATTCGAACATTAATACAAAGTAGATTTTCCTTTTTGGACCAAATAGTTGGAGCCTTGTTTTAAAAATTCAAGAGACTAATTTACTCGATTATGTTTGAAAAAAATTATGAAACAGTTGTGAATGTTCGAAACTGTGATAAAAATACTAAGGGATGTTTTCTCCAACTTTTTTATCCTCCACTAAAAATTTTAAAAACACGTTTATCAGTTATGAGAATTACGGCAAAATCGATTCACGTAAGAAAATATGGTAAGCATCGAAAAATTTAAAAGATTTCGCATTTATTACAGTTGTAGAGAATTTCAATCATCTTTGATCGTTTGTTGCCTACAGCAATATGAACTAATCTCTATGAAATTCTCAAGATGTATATAGCCGACTAATTGCAACTTCTTCCAAATTTTCATTCAAATGATCATCTAGTAAGGTTTGAATTTCTTCGGGAAACTCTAATAGTTTGATGCAATTTTGAAAATGTTATTTTATTTTTAAAACTATTCGAATATTATTAACGGTTGTTGTATGTAAATGTATGATATAATGTACTCAAACACTTAACAAATTAATAAGTAATTTAGCTCACTCTTCTCGTTACTTTATTCTCACGAGCATCTAATTTTGTGCACGTAAATGATTGATTATTTACCTGTTCCTCAGCTTGAAGTTGTATCGCTTCCCACTTGCTTTGTAAGTTTCTACGTAAACTGTTTAAAGCTTCCTGAGAATATAAATCACTCCATAAGATAAAGAAGATGGTGCGAGTCGAATATTGATTGGAATAAAAACAAGGGGATTTACATACGATCTCGTATTCCTCAAGACCATGGCGTTGCTTGTTTCTCAGAGTTCTCTTAGCCAGATAAATAGCATACTCCACATTATCAGGGGTTCTATGTTGCCATGGCCAATAATATGGTGTCTGTATATGTTGAACACAATTGCAAGTATTAATGGTTGGGGAATTGATATTGTCAAGGTATAGTAAGTTTGTGTAGTTAAAGCTTATGTATGTAAACTTAGGCGATCGTTTCCCATAAATAATTATAACGTACAGCCTAGCTAGAACATGGTACGAATCATATTGTGACACACACATTGCAATTTAATAATTAAAAACTTAATGCAGATGAACGAATCCTTTAAAGTAACAACATTTTTTTATTTTTTCGAAATAATAATAATTTTCAGATTTATTAGTCAGGTTCTTAATCATTCAAGTCCTAATTAGAAATTAGGCGAAAACTATATACAGGGTGAGTTGCATAACTTTCGCAGCTCAAAATAACTTTTAAATTACGTTTTTTTGTGATAAATGATGAAAATGTTGTAAAAAATGGTGATTGTAGAAAGGTTTCAAAGCTTTCCATATAAACTATTTTAAAGTTACTTCATTTAAATAGTTATTCGAGGTGTCTAAGTTACGTGACTCACCCTGTACATAAGAATATATTTCGCATATGTTATGATGAAACCGATTGTGGCGAGTTCGCATATACTATGCGATGTAGAAAATTACTTTAGAGAAATGGGAACACGTCTCTTCATTACATTGCAGTATAAACATCTGATGCACGAATTAAATGTACGTGCTCGACGTTGAAAAAAACATTTCCCGTTTACGCATAACGAGAGTACAATATCATGGAGAACGTATTTTTAACAGAAACAAGTGGAAACTGTAGGGAATGATGTCTGTAAACATATGTTTTAAAGATTAAATATCAAGTCCATTTCGCAGATAAATGAAAATATGAGATTTAACTAAAAAAGATGGTAAAATTAATTGTTTTAGATTTATTGAAAATTTAATTTTGTTTTAAACTGATTTAATCTAGAAAAGCTTGATTCGAATCCCGTGTTATTAAATTTTATTTTTCTTTGAAATTTCGACATATAGAGTCGATAGGTGGTGATGGTTCATTTTATAGTATCGTGAATTTTGATATCCTATACATTAGTGATTGTCTAATGACAAGAGCAACACCCATAGATAACATTTAAATTAATTAGATATATCGAAAAAATTAAAGGATATCAATATATATTATTTGTGATTAACTACAACTAGTAAAAGAAGAAAGAACTTTTTATATAAAAATCTGCAGCCTAGCGATAACAATACGACTTTTAGTTGGATAGAAGATGAAAATACAGTACCTGAAATCTATATAGAGAACTATCATCTTTTACGGTGAGTGTCTTGGTGTCATTTGCCGGGAAGAAGTAGCCATACTGGCAGAGTTGATTGGCAATGTGAACCGCCTCTACTGACAACATAATATTTTATGTTTACTAATTAAATCAATGTATGACAGAATACTTACTCTAACACATATTCAATTACATGCAAATATAAAATTTATTATATTATTTATTAAATTTATTATATACAAATCGTAACGTTGCAAAAATATTTCTTTGTA